ATGCCAGGCGGTGTCGTCATTTTCCTTACCCTGTCCCTGTTAGTGGTTGGGCTGTTCCTAAAGTGCCTCAGCTCTGCACCACTGGTAGTTAGTTATAAATAAAAGAAGCCTTATTCTGTTATAGCCTGGTGCTTCCTCTGGCTGCAGGTGGAGGAGTTTATGTTAGAAATAGCAAGAGAGAGATGGTAACCAGGGATGTAACAATAACAAATATTGTGATACCGTATCGTCAAAAGTCTCACAATAATATCGTGGACCATCACAATATATTAAATTACATGTTTATTTGTTAAAGTGCAGCAAAAACTAAAAACAGACAGAACTATATAGACCAGACCTGGGACTGTGCAGCTCCCAGACCACATACGGCCCTTTGGTTGACTTTGACTGGCCTGTTTAAACTAATTTGGAATTACAAGATAAACATATTTTATCATTTTACATCATGCATGCACTAAAGCTGCACTGCTTTTTATTTCAGAGGTGTTTTTTAAAATGACATTTTTTGTAAGGCAACCTCACTTTTCCATTGCTTAGTCATAACATAAACTCTTACCAGTCTGACCATCTTGTCAAAACAATGCTATTTACTGCTTTTTATAAAGAAATACAATTAATATTATGTAGAATTGAGTTAAGCATGTTGGCTTGGCCCTCCACAATATTTTCTGTTTTTCATGTGGCCCCATGGAAAAAAATGATTGCCCACTCCGATATAGACCATGATCCTTTGCTCTGTTTCAATCCAATCTACATGCTGAAATAACTATTATTAAGCACTTTTAAATCATAATTATTTGGATTATGATGAGAGACAGTAGCATACAATATTGACAATTTTGTAAGCCTCCACAAAATATCACAATAATTTTCAGACCGTGAGATGCATGTCGTGAATATATCATATCGAGAGATCTGGATATCAATACATCTCTAAGGGTAATGTGTGTATAGAAGTACACATATGAGTTTGCACATGTGTATAGCCTAACGACAAACCCGCTGCTGATGAGACTGTTTGTGTGTCTGAGTGTGTGTGTGTGTGTGTGTGTGTGCGTGTGTGCGCGTGTAGAATACTGTAAAGAGCTGTGACTGATGCTGCTCTATGAGTGCAAGAGGAGAGCCACACTGGGAGGACGCAGGCCATTCCAAACAGCACTCAGACTAAATAATGCAGTCGAGCAGGGAATGAGGGAGATGAAGAAATATACAGGAAAATTAAAGATAACATAGAGGAAGCGAAACAGCATGATATGAGGCAACAATTAAGATTATATGAACTTTATCTTATATTGAGATATACTATATTTGAATAATAATGCATAAAGGGCCAATATGTATTATTTTGTGATCTATGTTATAATGTTGTTTCTTCATTATAAACATACCTGGAGTTTTGTTTCATCCACGTATATTTAACACACAAACCCTGCATATTTAGTCTGAGTTCTTCTTTCAAATAGAAAACACATTGTGATGTCATGCGGTAATAAAGGAAGTGCTTCACTGTGTTTTTAAACTCCATACACCTTCACTAACCTCTTCTTTATTTCTTATACATTTATATAATTATTACTTATTTGACACCAGTCTCTTGTTAGTTTTGTTATTTGTTATTTTGTTATTTTGAAATTATTGTTATCGTTTATATTGTTGCTCTTTGTTATTATGATATGAATAAAACTCCATGTATCATTTGTTCATTCGTTTTTCAAAATAAAACCAACAATTTTCTTCATTATTTGTCTCCAAAACCAAAATGAAAAAATTTATAATGATTTGTTTTTTTCAGTTTTTGATTTTGTATTTAAATGAATAATGGGGGAAAAAAAGGATAACCTCCATTTCCCATTTCCGTGACTTAAACTGCGATGCCAGACTGAACCAGGACTGAACCAGGACTTAAACAGGACTGAGTGTTAGAAGGAGCCCGGAGTTGCGCCCGTGTAGACTGTTGGGTGATCAGGCCTGAGACTAGAACCAGACCGGGACCAGACCAGGACCAACCCCAGGACTGAGACCAGGACGGTGACCAGGACCAGTCCCGGTCTCAGTCCCAGTCTGGTCCTGGTCTGGTCCTGATCTCAGTCCTGATTGCCCAACAGTCTATGAGGGCGCACCTACAGGCCTGTCCCGACGGTCCTGTTTAAGTCCTGGCTCAGTGCTGGTTCAGTCCAGCATCCCAGTTTAGGTCACGGAAACGGGAAATGGATGCTACCCGTTTTTTCCATTATTCATTTAAACACTAAATTGAAAACTGAAAAAAAAAAAAAAACCCAAATCATTATCCATTTTTTCATTTTGGTTTTGGAGACAAATAATGAAGAAAATCGTTTTCTTATTTTTGGTTTTATTTTGAAAAACAAATGAATCACTGATACACAGATTAATAAAGTTTGTTTAAGTCTAGGTTTATGTCCAGGTTTAAGACCAGTTTCTCATGTAGAAGTCTTGTATCATTTTTTCTAGTGTTACATGATTTTTTCCATCCATCTTTTCCATTTCACTTCGCTCTTTAATGGACATCCATGGGTAGGTTTCTTTTTATTTTGTGGATTACTTGGGTTTATAGGAATATGTGGTGAAAATGTCACGTCAACAGCATCTTTGTAAATATATTTCTTTGAAAATAATTATGACACATCCAATGTAATATGAGACCAATTAATTAAATGTGTTATTTAAACAATGGCTTATTTGTGTAAAAGCCTCATTGGGCCAATTTACCAGCATCAATTATTTACACACCATTAATGCCTCAACAATAATATTTGTTTTTCATTGTAAACTTCCCTGAAATGGAAACTGGTGTGTTTTCCTATCAAGCTGGAGCTCTGTGATGAGAAAAATAGCCCTCTCTGACCTCACTGTTCGAGGAGATGTTTACTAAGTGATTTCACCACTAGCACGGTGCAGTGGAAGCTGGTTAAAAGGTCTGGAACCTAATTTGGAGCTTTTGCAAATGGATACGTGCTATAATGGAGATGAAACTGGAGAGGAGTGTTTCTAGCCCCGAAACAAGCAGAGGAGCAGACAACCTGACACATGAAAGGATCATATAAAGGTGATGTATGTGTCGGGGTCTACTGCATTTGAGATTAGGGCTCATTCTCAAGTGAAATTCACTGAAAATGTAGTTAGAACAGAGCTGCATGAGGATGGCCATCCAGTGTAAAGCCTAAATAAATATAGAGTGTACAATTTATTGCACACACAAAGCAGATGACCTTTTGTCCCTGAAACAGTAAAAGTAAACCATGAACCACTTGATAAACTTTTATTTATTTTTTATTTTGAATACAATAGTAAATATATAATTCATTTTTTGACTCTCTGTAACAATACTCTGGAGAAAACATGTTCACGTGTTAGCAGCATGTGGCCCTTTGACAAAAGCATCTGGAGTCATGTTCACTGCTTTTGCAATGCCAGGATTTGTTACAGCAGAGATTTGTTTTAGAAGTGAACAACAATACATTTTTCTGAGCACTCTTGACAAGCATAAATGTCATTGGTACACACATCTCTTCATTTCAAGTGCAAATTCTAAAAGTGATAAAACATAATAATGAAGAACACAACTGTGCGTCACTCATAGGAAAAACACACCCACACCATCATAAGAAACATTCATAAATGCTGATGTACCATATACCATCAAATGTCAAACCGCTTTCTATTTAGTTTTAGTGCAATTTCATGTCACCACAGATAGCTTTATCAAAAGCTTGTTCTGAGAGAAAATGACTCTTCTTAATTGCATGTATGATGTGGTTTATAAAACTGTATTGCTTAATAATATGCATTATATTAATTATATTGGCGATTACTGAGACTATTACTGTTATGTGCAGTGTTAAACAGGTGTAAAGAGCAGATCTCTCAGACTAGGGTGAGCCTCTTTTACTGTGGTGTATCTCTACTTCCTACATTCCTATGGTCATCTTTATGTTCATTTGATTCACACAGTTCTGTACAATCTGTACAATAACACTTTCCCCTGAAGTAATCACTGAAAAGTTCACTTTTCAACTGTTGCCAGCAACCAGTGGGAAAAAGTATATTCACATATTGATTTTACAAATGTTGTTAATGTTTTATAATCCTTAGCCTTATAGGGCTTGTATAGAAGAAATGGCCACAGTATAAGTATCCTTATAAAATCACAGACTTCATTCTCTTAATATCCTCTTTACTATAACTGATTATATGGTTCACTGTGGGGTCTAACTGTGCCAAGGACAGAAAGACGCTTTGTGTACAGAGTTAAAAGGTTAAACTAAAAGAAATAAATATCTCAGGAGTCTCTGTAACGACAGACATCTGTGCATGAGCTATTGCACTAACTATTATACAGATGTGCAAAAATGCAATGCTGTTTATGGTTTTGTTTGTGACATTCACACTTACATGGACAGAAGGGGACTGGCTACATGTTAGGCTGTGCAAAGGTGCATTAGATGGATGAAATTTTATTTATATATTACATACGGTATATACATATATCATAAAAGTGTTCGTATTGAAGTTTCAGGCGACTCTTGGTAAAGAGCAGATTTCTGAAATTAAAGCTAATGCACCTCTGTAGAAACACATGTACATGTTTTTGTACTAAATGAGGAGCTATATTTTTATGCATCAACACCTTTAAAACACATATATGCTCTACATTTTGTGATGCTTTATACAGTAGCCCCTGTCTACAACTAATTTACTTTGTATACAATAAAGAGTATTTTTCTTCAGTTTGTGCCAAAAAGCAGATTAGTAATGGAAAAAAAAAAAAAACTTCACAGGTAGAAATTTTCTCTCACAAAATGTAAAGTGCAAAAACCCTGATGCTTTGTCAGCATACTTTTGGCTGAGAATTAGATGTGTGGATAATTATGTTTTGAATAACAATATTACCCACGGTCGTACAGTCATTGTTGCAATCCAAGCATGCTTTTGAATAGGCCATTTTAACATTAGTGTTGATGAGATGCAAACCCCATGAAGAAACAGCCTGGCAGGACCATGGGGTTTATGAAGGAATGAAAGGAATGGCAGCTGGAAACAGAGAATAAACAATTACCTTCATATTATAAAATAGTATACACACTCACAAAGGTAAAGTGAATGTGCTCAGTGTTAAAAATATACCTTTGAACTCAAAAAACAGTCTACAACAAAACGTATGATCACTGCTCTTCACAGTCATTGGCTGGAAATGCCTCAGCCTCCTGGTTGTGGAACATGTACTGTAAAAACAGAAATGATACTCAAACAAGATGGTTTATGAAATACTATGTATAAAATATAAAATATATATATCTAAATGCAATACTATGTGGCTTGTTTACATAGAGCGTGCCTATGTGTGGAGATATTTAGACACATTTTATAGCTATAGAATGTTACATATATTTATGTTCAGTTTAATACATTATGTGTATGTCAGCAAGTCTTAAAGCCTATGGGACTGCACAAAGTTACAAAAAGAAAGTTACTAATCACCAGATTAGAAGTTAAATGAACATTTCATTGAAGATTCATGTAGGATTTTTAGAGAGTGCATCTAAAGGAAGTCTTTTGACAACATGGAGCAGAATGTGAGGTTTATGATCAAAGAACCTGCCAGGGTTGAGTTAAGAAAAGTGCAGAATCCTCCAATTACAGAGAGAAATGGTGTGTCTTATGTTCAGTAGAGTTCTCCTCTCAATGTCACTGCGCTTAAGTAGATGATCTGCTGTTTATGTCAACAAACAGCAAAGGCAAACTATACAAGTTTTACCCTTTTAAGCTTTAATGAAAGGAGACGTTTCGTCAGAGGTGAGCAGTGGTAGATTTGTATATGTGCCCTTGTGTGTGAACACATGTGTGATCCAGTCACATGATCATTTCCTGATATTTGTTAGCTTTTTCTATTTTCACCACAGTATTTTAAGCATCTCCCATAACAAATGACCCTCTGTATAATAAAAAGACATTGGATGCTCTGAGGCATAATATTTGCTCAAGGGAGTTTTAAAGCTTTAAGCTAGTAGTGTGTTTACCTGGAAATCCTCTTTTTTTCTCTTGTTTATGTTTATGATCAAGCCTTAGTCTTCATAAATGTGCAGTATTTCATTATACTAGTATAACTTACAGACTTGAGGTTTGGGTCCATCTCATTGAAGTTCCACTCTGTGAGAGGCAGACTGAGACTGAAGGGCTGTGAGACAGAGGACAGAGCACTGGTGTGACTAATGTGTGTAAGAGAGGGACATGTGTGAATGTGGTGAGCGTGAGACCCACATCTATAGCAGCACTGGCCCCGGCCTCCACTGAGCTGTGCTGGTGGTTCCTGAGCAGCAGCTGCTGCAGCTCCTCCAGGCTCATGTCCACATTCTCCACTGCCTCTGACACCTCCCCTCTGAACAGATTAAAACATCACACATGTAGGCCGTGTTCATGTGACATTACAAAGCTCTTATTTTCAAACTGAGATGGAGGGCAGGACAGTATTGTATGGCAAAATTTTAACAACAGAAATTCTGTTTTTATTTATTTATTTTTATTTTGGTCTGATTTGAGAATAAAAAGTATAATAACTTGGACTCTTTAAATAAAAAAAAAAACTTGCATAGAGTTAAATGTCAGCAAAAATAAAGTAAGATGGAATATTTACTTGAGTCACAAAGATGTGATTGTCAGTTTGCCAGTGTCAGTACAAAATTAATATGGCTGCACTGTAAACTGTGGATCATGGATTTTCTATTTGAAGGTTTCTTTCTGTGAATTGCTCATATATAGGAGCCCTGAACACACCTATTATAATAAACACATTAATTCAGAGGCATAATCAGTTTATATCTAACAAAAACCAGTCAAGTCACAGTGCATCTGTGTTCATAAAATAAAATGACATAAATGCACCCATTTGTAAGATATGGATGCATGATGCTAGATAGACTTGTGCTCCACATGGTGCCCTACCTTTCTGAGACCATTCTCTTACTCCTCCTGTCCCCCACAGGTCCAGTAGGGCCCCTCCCCTCCAGAACGGACTGGACCAGGGCCACAGGCAGGACAGGGGGCTCAGCGGGGCACACCTCACATGTGCTCAGGCCTGAAGCATCTGCTCCAACACTGCCCCCCTTGGCTCCTCCTCCTCCTCTCACGCCTGGACTCACTGGCTCCTCTTTTATCAGCATCAGGCACTTCTCCCTGAGGAGACATTCAAAGAGGGAGGCTGAAGGAGGTTGAAAAAGACCTAGTTATTATTTGCTCATGTTCATTCTGTCAGAAGGAAATTTACTTTTAAACACAAACCTCTTATTTTCAAATCCAGTGCAGAGTAAATAGCTCATACAAAGTCATGCAAACACAGTGTTGTTATAAAAGTATGTATGTACAGCATATTTGCAGCATGATGTGACCCACCTTGTGTCCTCTGTCTGCATGTGCAGGGCCATTGGGGTCTGGGACATTTCAGTGACGTCTGATATGATTGGTCCTCCAGCCATCCCACTGGCGGAGCATGAGGCACTGTCACTGGAAGGCTTAAATACAAATACAACATTTTTATTGTTATTTATTTATAATTACAATATAACAAAAAAGAAATTGCAAACGGTTTGTCTGTGTATTATTTAATTGTTGCATCCCAAAACATTATTAAATTAATTTACTGTTGGCATGGAGTTACTTCCAGTAAAAAAGATGCTCCAATGCTGCCCTCTAGTGTTAAGGAACAAAACTAGTTTTAAGAGACTTCGCTTTCTTTTAGAAATTATAGCCATGGGAGATGCCTCACAAACACATGTTTCTAATAAGGTCAAACAAAAGAGGTAAAAATATAACTATAATATAATTATAATATAACAATATAAAACCCACCGACTGAATGTAAAACGACTCATTCATAGGCTCCACTTGGTGGCTATGGCTGAATTTAGAGGCAGGTGGGCTGGGAGAGCCATCATCCAACATCAGTGGCCTAAACAAACATATATTATAATCAGTCCAAATCTGTTCTTAAACCGTAACAATTTAAGTGATTTGGAAATCAAAATTTTTAAGGTGACTCTCTAGATGAAAGATAACAGCTTTTTGATTCTGTATCTCTCAGTCTTGGTATGGGTAAATGTGTGTGTGTGTGTGTTTTTTGTTTTTTTTTTTTTTTTCAATTCTTTTTTCCTTTCCCCTCTCAGCCTTGGTCATACAGCGTTACACAGTAAAAGGCTGAATCAGCACATAAACGCGGGTCGCACACACACACACACACACACACACACACACACACACACACACACACACACACACACATACACACACATAGGCGCGCACGCACACACGCGCTCACACACACAGGGGCTCGAGCGGCTCCTGTCATCACTGTGTTTGTGTGAGACTCTCTGACTCAGCGCTCGTGTCCATTCACAGCTCTGTGGACGGTCAGATTGTTCAGTTTGTCAGCTGCTTGTTTGTCTCACTTTTGATGATAGCACCATGATGTGTGTACACTCACAGCTTTCTCTTCAGGCCCACAGTGCTGGGGGAGGTGGGCTGCATCTGGCTGAACAGAAACTGGATCAGCTAGAACACAGGAAAACTCACAGTGAATCAGCAGGACTCTTCGCATCAATCAATCATCAACATTAAATATATTTTTTCAAGTACTGCTCAAATCTGCCTGCCTCAAACCTGGTTATGATAATAGTTTTAGTATTGGTTAGTATCTGACTGTCTGTACTTGGACATCCCTGTTTATACATTCATTGGATTACCTGGTTTTGACACTGTAAAAATAAAAAAGTCAGTAGATATAAATGTGTTTACTCACTGCCTACTCACTTTTGGTTAGCAAACTCTTCTTAGACTGACCTTGTTCATGACTTTTTGCTGCTGTGTGTGGTTCTGTCTCAGTGATACAACCTCTCTCCACAGCACCTCATTCTGCCTACATGCAAAGAGAAAGGGCATCATGTTTAATCACACTGAACAGTTATATATTATACTGAATTAATAAACATGTAAAGGTGGACTATGTAACTTTTTGGTTGGGGGTCTGTCAGCTGCTTGTTTCTATGGATATATCATTGTTTTGCCTGGAATGTTCTACAGTATGAGATTAAATCGCTCTGTCTTACATTTATTAAATTACAGGTTGTTTTATAGCTCATAATTCTGACTGTGAGCAGGGCTATCTCTCCACAGATCTGACCTGTAACTTGGTCTTTTTTGGTCTCCATGAAGGTAGAAAGACAGAAAGATTTAACACTCTACTTTGAAACATTCCAGACAATAACAAAGCAATAACATCTCCATGGACGCTCCACTAGAAAAGTTCCAAAAAATATATATAAATAAAAAACACTGATAGACCAATATTAGAAACAACAAATGAGAACTTAAGTGGGTCAAGTTGTACAAGATTAATGATAGGAGGCTGTTAAGGCCTAAATGTAAGTCAGGGGCCCCTCCTGTGAGCCCACGTGTGATGGTTGTCAGTCAGGTGAGCAGGTGAACGTTCTCCTCTCTCATTAGCGCACAATGGAGCGCACAAAGCCCCCGGCCAACACAAAAGCCCCAATGCAGCTATTTTCAGCTACAAAAGCCTGAAGAGAAAATGTCAGTCCAGCCCCCGGCCCATTTGTTCCCAGGGTTAATTAACTTAAACACAAACCAAATCAAAAGTGCAGGTGGGGTTAGTCAAAAGTAGATCAGGTTTTGTGAAAAAGAAAAAGAAAAACTTCATGGAGATACACACGTGAGCAGTCATTCTCGTTCCTCACCATCCTTTACATTTTTTAATGTTTTCATGATTCACAAATAGGGTTTTAAAGGTGTAATACGTAACTTTTCATGTGGAGAGTCCAGCATGTACTTGATGTTAATGTTGATCTATTTTCCATTTATTCAAATACAGGTGTTTTTATTGGCCAGAAATATCTGCATTCTTACAGTGAGCAAGGCCACCTCTCCATGGATCTGAGCTGTAACTTGGTGTGGTGACATTACCTACTTGCCTTCAAAGAAATACATGAGTTTAATGCCATTCAGTTGAACATTGCAGGCAACCAATTTCCAGAAAAGTTACATATTGCTATCCAGACTGGCGCCACCTAGTGCCACCGCTCAATTTAATTTCTCTCCAACGACTAGGTCAGGAATCGGAATACACTAGACGGTTCTCAAAACCCCCAGAAGTGCAAGTTTGGGCACCAGTCAATCAGCGAAGAGTCATACATTCTGTGTTCACAACAATTCCCGAGATTGAGGATTTAAAGCCGGATCAAAGAGAATGTTTGGTGAATTTCTCAAGAGGAAAGACATTATTGCCCTTCTTCCTACGTGATTTGTGAAAAACTTAATATTCCAGTTAGCCCCGTTAGCAGCACATAACATACATGACCAAGTAACAGCGATTGGTTAAATAAAAGAAAGTAAAGAAAAGTACTGGCCTACCGTCGAGCAAACAAATTGTAACGGTGGTCAGACTATGCTGGTTTCTACCAAGTGAAACCGGCTGATGAATCAGGCTAACTAACATATTGCACCTTTAACATCACATTAAAAACTATAGCAAATTAAAATGCAAAAAACTTGATGAAGCAGATGATGCTTTTTGTAATTTAAAAAAGGAAAGTGGAAACATTGCTATCACACACTTACTGTTTCATATCTTGCATCTGGCACTCCATGTTGTCTTGCTGTGTCCTCAGGAGCTGGACTTCATACAGTAGTTTGCTCAGGTCTTCTTGACGCACTTTAGTTTCCTCACTTTTCACAATGGACACCTATAGAGACATAAGAGTTTGAAAAAGTGGGCTTTTAATAGATGGTTTTCTAATTCTAAAAAGTGATAATGTCATACATCCAGATGGGGATCAAGAGAGAGTTTTTTAAAATTAATTATTCTATTCTATTATTGTATTAATTACATTCTACTTTGCCATGAAATATCAGGAAAGGTGAATTTCCAAATATGAAATCTGATCATTTTTATTATTTATTAGGGATCTCACGGTACTAGATATTATCACAATATTCATTTCACGGTATGATATTTATTGCAATATTTTAGAAAAGCTAATAGAATTGTAGATACTTTTTGCTTTTAAAATAGCTTGGCAAGACTTTGGTGTGAATAATTCCTTCCATAATCCCAAGAATTAAATTTTAAAAAATAAACAAAACATATTTCTTCATGTTATCTGCACTGAAATGAATCATGGGATATGCAGATCCCTTTGTTCATAAGCTGTTGCTACTATAAAACAATGCATTTAAACAAAGGAGCTTGTAATTCAATATAATGTGACAGCTTTCGATATTATTGTGAGACTTTTGATGACACAATGTCACTATATTTCAATTATTGTTACATCTCTTTTATCCACCAGACCCAAGATCATGCTATATGACATCAATAATCTATATTGAAGAATATTAATTTTAGCTGCGCCCCATCTGTATTAAATAATATTGGTCGATAAAATTCTGTGTTGCTGTCTGAGTAGCTGCATCACTCTCCTCACCTTCCTCTTAATATGTTCCAACATGTGCTCGTGTCCCTGCAAGAAATACAGGTGCTGGAACTCTGTGTCATCTCTCTCTGGTTTCACTAATCCACTCTGTTCAATGTTGACCACCTTACGGAAACCATCTAGTCCACACATACACACAAAAAGATGAGTGTATAAATGTTAAAGGTCTTATATTATACTAAATTGACTCTTGTGAGCTTTAAGTCATAAGTTATAATGTTGTTAACTCTTCAAAAACATACCTGGAGTTGTGTTTTGTTTCATTCAAGCATGTTTGAGTAACCCTTTATTATCAGTCTACATCTCCAAAGCTCAAAATGCTCTATTCCACCTTGTGATGTCATGTAGGAGTAGTTTTTAAGTGAACAGCTACCATTTACCTTTTGTTCAATAGAGGTTCAAAATTCCAAAGCCGAAATCAACCAAATGATTCTAGTGAAGGTGTATGTTAGGTGTATGTAAAGTTTAAAAACACAGTGGAGCACTTTCTGTATAATCACATGACATCACAAGGTGGAACAGAGTGTTTTCAGTTTGCAAGAAGAACTCAGCCTAAATATGCAATGTTTGTGCATTAATGAAACAAAACACAACTCTGGGTATGTTTTTGATGTGGAAACAACATTATAACACACATCAGAAAATAGCATCATGTTGCCCCTTTAAAAACAATAGGGATACAGATTCAAACATCACACAAATACACTTACACATGTTTAGCTGCCGTACAAAACTCGCCATGTTGTTGTGCTTGAAGTATTTAGGCAACACCTCCTTGGCAAAGCGCCCCTGGTCAAACACATGGAAACTCGTCCCAGTCTAAAACAGTCAAAAGTAAATCAGGAGACAAATCAAAATGGCCTTTAAAGTGTACATATTTTCCAAGATATCAAACCAAAGTAAGGAACTGAAAACAAAATACTCCAGTCATTCTGATTATAAGTACGGTAACTCACAGCGCTCCAACAGATGAGGTGATTTGTGTCTGGATCTTCCACAAGAGTCCACAGCTTGGTCAGAAAAGCTGGGACATTACTGGCGTAGCTGCCATCAACACCCATGGCACCTGGAGACTCCTGCATTATGAAAATATAGTCCGACCACTCAGATCCAACGCAAGTGGGTGATATAGAATGTGAAAAAATGTGTCCAAAATTAGTCCATGTTTTGCCAATATACTGATGGTTTGCTAACAGCTTGTCTCCTGTCCCATGTCAGGAAGGCCTTTCTTATTGATTTCAGTTTAGTTTTCAGTTTGTTTTGGCTTCCTCTCTATCCTCTGCCACCAGTAAAACCAACAGAATGTGACCACAGAAGGCCCATGTCAGCACACATCCCAACACTGGCCTCCCACTGACAATCAGCTGTACAACAATACTGTGTCCACACAAACGCTTTAACAATGCACCAGTGTTAAACCAGTAAAAGAGCCCTGCCACAAAAGAGGATAGGTGCAGATAGGACCCCTTAAGTCTTTATATTATGTGATAAGGATCAATATAACCTGAATATGTTTACACCGTTTTAGTTAAAGTAATTTTATATGATTTCATATGAACACAGACACACATTTTGTTTTTATTAAACCAGTTTAACTAGTAGGCCGATTTGTGGGGGTCCAGGGCTGTTTTTTGGTCCCAGTCTGGCCTGGGGTTCCTCAGTGGGTTTCCCGGAGCTGCAGCTTCATGCGGTAGGGCTTCGGGGTTTGGGTGGTTCCGAACAACTTTGTGTAGGCAGGCTCTCCTGCGGCCTCGGGCCAGATGAACTTAAACTTTCTGAGCAGTGTCACTGTTATGTGAAAAAGCTCCATCCGAGCCAAACTCTCCCCCAGACACATCCGAGGACCTGAACATTCAAACCAACACACAAATATAGAAGACACATCTGTGTAAATCAGTAGTATCTGCAGTAATCAGTAGTAATCTGCAGTGTTTAGAGCCGTACAGACCTGCAGAGAAGGGCATGAAGGTCTCTGGTTTCACAAACTCTCCCTGATCACTGAGGAAGTTCTCAGGATGAAAACCATGAGGAAACTTCCACTGACCCTCCTCACATAGCACAGATGACAGGTTAGGGATGACCATAGTGCCCTGGACATAGCAAACAAAACAACTGCTTAACAGTAGTAGTAACAGATATGCTGATTTTTAACATGTTGGAATATCATTAAACACACTTATGTGACTATACCTTCGGTATAAAGAATCCCATCAGGTCTGTGTCTTTAGTTGCTTGATGAAAAATAGCAAGAGGGGCAGTGTCAGAAACATGCTGAATCTCATGGATGACAGCCTTCAAGAAAAGTGTTAGATCTATATCATGCAAACCCCTAAATAATGGTCTAAGTGGAATACCTGTGTGTAGGGCATCAGGTGCCTGTCTTCAAAGGTAACATGAACCTTTCCCTCCAGAACTTGATCAATCTCTCATTGACAATCCTCTGAGATTACAACTCACAAAATGGTTATCTGTTTCAACTAGCAGGCCAAGGCCCAAAAACACAGTGTTTGGGTGCTTAACTTCATATAGAACTTGTATAAACACAAGTATGTAATAATTAAGAGAATCCTACTTTCTGAGTGTAAAGTTCTTTCTCACATCATAAATGTGTGTACCTTGCACTTGTGGGTAGTTCATGAGGTAGAGGAAGGCGCAGAGCAGTGTGTTGGCTGTTGTGTCAGTTCCAGCGAAGTGCAGATCCAGGAGAAACGCAGAGAGCTGGTCCTCAGTGAAAGACGAGCTCGTCTCACCCCTCTTTTTATAAAGAGACATTCACAGAAATGATCAAGAACTCTACATTTACTGGTCTTTTAAAGCAACATAAACAAACCTTCTCTATTTCCTCTAGGTAGCAGTCAATAAAATGTCTAGGTTTGCCTGGAATTCTTGTATTTTTGTTTTCAGCCAAAACTTTCATTCTTCGTTCATGTGCATCCTGTCAAATAATATAATATTACATAAATCATAAATATGTCCAACACTAAAACCATCACACCGAATACAAATATGTTGATAAATACCTTAAACAGAGAAAATGCTTTCCTAAAGGGTAATGGTAAACCCCGTAACATTGGGAATGAGTCATAAATCTGTATTGAAAAGAAAAGAACACACTGTAAAGCGTATCCTGGTGGTTTAGCCTTATGTAGGCACCTACAATGCAATATTTTAATGTTGGGTCCTTGTTTGAGCCCAGTCTAGTCCAGAAGGCAAACCTGATTTGGTCTTGGTCTTGTCCTGGTTTTGCCCTGGCCTAGTTCAAGCTTGGTTCTGAATTTAGTAATAGTTTTTGAAGTTTGTCAACGTGCAAATGTGTGCGTGCAATTTTGAAGTTGTCTGCCTGCAAATGTGAACGAACCCTTAATGTTCCACTCATGTTAAAACTGACTACAAATATTAATTAACCTAATTTATATTCAATTAAGAAGATGTTGAAGATGTAGGCTATACACATAATATTAATGAGAGGTAAATAATTTTCCACAATAAAAGACTATGTGGTTGTTTTGGAGTTATTTACTACTTACAGAAAAATCCCGCACACCGTCTTACTTGCAAACTGTGAAATTTATTAGGACAAACCGGTTTGTCCTAATAAATTTCACAGTTTGTAAGTAAGACGGTGTGCGGGATTTTTCTGTATGTTCTGGGGCTGCTCCCTCTCCTCCAACGCACCCGTCTCTAGTAGTTGATGTGCGAGGCTCTCATTCTCTCAGTTATTTACTACTTAAAATCCAAATTAGTATTTTACATACAACCCAAGAAAAAACGATAACATCTTCTTTGTGTGATTATTACAAAAAGTATATTATAATATTAAGTATATTATAATATTCATTTCAAAGATTTGAGTACAGTACCTTTGACAATGATAGCATGATTGACCATGAGATCTTGTGGTCTACCAGAGAAGTCATCTGATTTGTTAACCAGAGCTTCCTTTATAGCCTGAAGACCATTCAAGACCACTGTAGGCCTTGACCCCAAATAGAGACTGTAGATGCTCCCATAGCGTTTGGCCAGCTAGCAACAAGATATTTATTATAACCACAGAGAAGACACAAATTCTAAAAGTATGGATCAACTTTACCCTTTGTAGATCAGATAAAGGATTGTCCATGCTAAGCTCCAGCAGGTTTCCAAACAGAGGCGGTGGCCATGGACCTGGAGGGAAGTTTTTAACATTAGAGTGAGTTCTAAATAGTATAAAATACAGCAGGATGACCACCACAAACTGAGCTGCTGAAGCAAACATGTCTCTGCGTGTGGACTGCCCTTGACTGAACCATGACCCTGAATTTTAAACTTGTGTGACTTTTGCACTTTGGCATATGTCATACAAGCACAAAACAGGCACATTCTTGGATTAACAGAGAGTAAGCAAACAGCATGCAAGCTAACACACTTTACCATTTAGTTTTCAGTCCTTGTTTAGTCTACATTCTGCAGCAGTCTGCACAAAGCACAATTTTAGCTGACCTACTATGCAGCAGTAATAATATTACTCGTTTTCTAATCAACTAAAAAATACAGAGTTTTGAGAATTTAAGTGTGTTGTGAAAAGAGACTGAATATCACACAAACAAATCATGTTTAACTACCTTTATTTGCATTCCCATGGCAACAGAGAGGCTGGCTGCTTTTGTGGCTACCTGGCTCACACATTAAGTAGCTTTTAATTTTCTTAATTTTTCTTCATCATTGGATTTGAGCTAGTGAAGGAGCTATAGACATTTGAGATGCTACGGGCTTTTACACCAAATGTGGCAGAAGACCTTCAGAGGAAATGCTCAGAGACTTTTCAGAGGAAACACTTTGAGGGAATAAACCATTTCATCAAGAACCGAAACACCACTTGAACATAAATATCCATCGGGAATAAAGTACTCTCTCTGTCTCTCTGCTCTCTCTCTCTCTCTCTCTCTCTCTGTCTCTCTCTCTCTGTCTCTCTCTCTCTCTCTCTCTCTCTCTGTCTCTCTCTCTCTCTCTGTCTCTCTCTCTCTCTCTCTCTCTGTCTCTCTCTCTCTCTCTCTCTCTCTCTCTCTGTCTCTCTCTCTCTCTCTCTCTCTCTCTGTCTCTCTCTCTCTCTCTCTCTCTCTCTCTCTCTCTCTCTCTCTGTCTCTCTCTCTCTCTCTCTCTCTCTCTCTGTCTCTCTCTCTCTCTCTCTCTCTCTCTCTCTCTCTCTGTCTCTCTCTCTCTCTCTCTCTCTCTGTCTCTCTCTCTCTCTCTCTCTCTCTCTCTCTCTCTCTCTGTCTCTCTCTCTCTCTCTCTCTCTGTCTCTCTCTCTCTCTCTCTGCTCTCTCTCTCTCTCTCTCTGTCTCTCTCTCTCTCTCTCTCTCTCTCTCTGTCTCTCTCTCTCTCTCTCTCTCTCTGTCTCTCTCTCTCTCTCTCTCTCTCTGTCTCTCTCTCTCTCTCTCTCTCTCTCTCTGTCTCTCTCTCTCTCTCTCTCTGTCTCTCTCTCTCTCTCTCTCTGTCTCTCTCTGTCTCTCTCTCTCTCTCTGTCTCTCTCTCTCTCTCTCTCTGTCTCTCTCTCTCTCTCTCTCTGTCTCTCTCTCTCTCTCTCTCTCTCTCTGTCTCTCTCTCTCTCTCTCTCTGTCTGTGTCTCTCTGTCTCTCTCTCTCTGTCTCTCTCTCTCTCTCTGTCTCTCTCTCTCTCTCGCTCTTTCCAACATTTAGGAAAACTGTACCATGACAGATGTTACTTCAGCTCATTTGTTCGGTTTGATATTGACTGAGCACGTGTGTTTTGACTGTATGTAATATCTCTTTATACAGTTTATGGTTTAAGTCCACTAGATGGAGCCACTTATACAAAAATGTGACTTCAATAGGAGAACGATTGACTGAACACAAAAACATCATCTTCTGAAACATGTGAAGAATCCCTCAGTCGCCACACATATATGTGTCTGAAACGTTACATATATAAACTGTGTGAATAACGTACTGCTGCTTTTCTTTTTTGTCTTTTAAGACAGAACAAGCACTATCCTTTGTATTTTAGATGAAAACCTCAGTTTTAATAAACATGTTCATACAGATTATTATTATGGAAGGTTTTTAATGCTTCAGCCTCAAAACTGAGGAAGAGATTTACCTAAATTTGTAATGAGGAACACCATGTATATACTTTTAACAGATACTAGACTATTATAGACCCATACAGTCCTTATGGCACAATTATGTCTCATTATTATTTAATTTGGTATTCTCTTTAAAAAAAAAAAAGGTTAGTAATAAAACAAATACTATTTATTTTTATTTAACCTTTATTTGACAAGGAAATTCCCAATGAGCTTATAGTATCTTTTCTGAGAGTCTTGACCAAGACAACAAAACATCAATACAAAATTCAGTCAATACATCACTTTACATATATATTGTTAGAGGGTACTGCAAAAAACAAGTATTGTAAAAGCAAAGAAAATGTTTATACAACATCATCAACTAATGGCACTCATGGTAATTTAATCAATGAAAGCAATAATTATATACACCCGGGGACTGCAAATGGAAATTAGCTTAATCTGGTGTAAAGCATCTCATCTTTTATGAGATAAATGTGTTTGCACATGGTCCCTGTTAAAATAAACCAATAAACTAAAACTACAGACACTCAAAACATTGAGAAGCGCTAAGTGTGGGTTCCTCCAGACTGGTAATTTGTACTAGTAGGCCGATTTGTGGGGGTCCAGGGCTGTTTTTTGGTCCCAGTCTGGCCTGGGGTTCCTCAGTGCGTTTCCCGGAGCTGCACCTTCATGAGGTATGGTTTTGGGGTGAGTGTGACTCCATAAACAGGAGTGTAGTCAGGCTCTCCTGCGTCCTCCGGCCAGATGAACTTAAACTTTCTGAGCAACGTCACTGTGATAAGAAAGAGCTCCATTCGAGCCAAACCCTCCCCCAGACACATCCGAGGACCTGAACATTAAAATCAACACACAAATATAGAAGACACATCTGTGTAAATCAGTAGTATCTGTAATAATCAGTAGTAATCTGCAGTGTTTAGAGCCGTACAGACCTGCAGAGAAGGGCAAGAAGGCCTCTGGCTTCACAAACTCTCCCTGATCATTGAGGAAGTTCTCAGGATGAAAGCCATGAGGAAACTTCCACTGACCCTCCTCACTCAGAGCAGATGACAGGTTAGGGATGATCATAGTACCCTGTAAGTATGCACATTATATTACTCCATTACACATTAAATAAATTCATTAAACATTAAAGGTACATCACATAAAATTTACTCTAAAAAGCTTTAAGTCATGTTTCAATGTTGTCACCTCATCAAAAATATTGTGTTTTGTTTCATTTACACATGTTTGAGTAATTCTGGTTTATTAGTCTGTTTTCATCTCCAATGCTCAAAATGCTCTGTGCCACCTTGTGATGTCATGCAGTGGTAGTTTTCAAATTAACAGCTCCTTTTACATTTTGTTCTGTAGAGATTGTCATTTCAAGACCTGATATTAACCACATGATTCTAGTGAAAGTGTATGGGGTTTAAAAAACACAGTGGAGCACTTCCTGTATTATCACATCACATCACAAGGTGGTACAGAGTGTTTCAGTTTGAGAAAAGAGCATGGCCTAAATATGCACCGTTTGTGTGTTAAACATGTGTGAATGAAACAAAACACATCTCTAGGTATGTTTTCGATGAGAAAACAAGATTATAACTTAGATTAGAAAATAACTTAATATGGGGCCTTTAAATAAAGAATATGTGAATAAATTATGGATTCTTACTTTGGGAATAGTGTATCCCATGAGCTCTGTGTCTTTAGTTGTGTTGTGGAAAACACTGAGTGGGACGGTGTTGGCTACTCTTTGCATTTCATGGATCACAGCCTGTTTAAAAGAGATGATATGGGTTTTTTTCATTTTGATTCAAATATCAATTATAATGTCAAAAATTCATACAATAACACATGAAATAGTATGCAAATATTTAAATTAAAATGTACATTCACCTGTACATAAGGCATGTTGTGTCTGTCCTCAAAACAGGCTTTTTCTTTCCCCTCCAAAACTCTGTCTATCTCTTCCTGGCACCGCTCTGAATTATAACAGGGCATAAGATTAAACAAAATGACAGATAATATTTTTTGTAGCTGTGTGAAACAACAGACATACCCTGAATGTCTGGGTTAGTCATGAGATAAAGAAAGCCAGTCAGCAGGGTGTTGGAGGTCGTGTCAGTTCCAGCGAAGTGAAGATCCAAGGAGTACATGGAGAGGACGTCTTCAGAAAGAGTCGAGTCTGGATCCTTTCTTCTCTAAAACAATAAATCTTTTTGAGTGTGATGATTTGCCAAGTATTACAGTTCAGTGGGAAAAAAGACAATAAGCAGAAAGTAAAGTAAACACATTATATATTATCTATGGTCTGCAGAAAAAAATGACAATAATAAACTGACACCTTACAACTGTAACAACAATTTAACAGAAGTGTATTCCGCATTTTTATTACATTTCATTAACTTGACTTATCTATGTCTCCAGATATAAGGTAGACATGTTCACATCAAATATAGCTTTTATTGATAACATTCTAATGCTGATCTAATACTGATTTATTTCTAATTACAAAAACAGTGGACATGTTGACAAAGTTAAATGTTAAAATTTGGTGTTTTGGTTCTCAAAAAAAAAAGCAAAGTGAAAGCAGAATGAGGCTCTCTCTTTAATTTGGTTTACCAGTTTCAATGTTGAAATCCAGTTGGTTTAAATTTATAATGACTCTCTGATCTGTAATCTCACAAGCTCAACCCCAGTACCTACAGCTACAGTAATCATTAACCAGCACCTTTCCTGCTTTCATGCTGTGCTTAGACTGCAAACAATGCACGTTCAGTTGTGATTGTAATACATTTTCTAAAAACTGTAAAACTGTAAGAGCACAAGTAGTACCTTTAAATGAGAACTCCAACTCAACTTATTAATATACTGGGAGCTAAGCCAAAATGAATGAAAGTTAGTAGTTATGAGGGCTCACTCAAAATATCCAATATCTAAAGGTTTAAGTTTTGTAAAATGCAACTCACAAAAATAATTTTAGCAAAAACCTAACTGACCTTTTCCACTTCATCCAGGTAGGAGTCCACAAAGTCCCGAGGTTGCCCTTGAACTCTAGTATTCTTATGGTCAGTAATCCAAGGAATAGCAATACCCTGGCAAATCTGTGCAAAAACATATCCATTTTTACAAATGTGTGTGTAAGTGAAGAAGTGTTTTCACCAGACATCATTAACTGATTAAAGTTTATAAAACATTTTGAACTTACTGCTATATTTGTGAATGCTTTGTTGAAGGGAAGTGGCAAGTGACGAATCCAAGGAATTGAGTCATACAACTGCAATAAATAAATAAATAAATAAATAAATAAATAAACATAGTATAGTGTAGAGTTAATACATGGATAAATGAATGCTGTGAATAGGGATGTCAAAAGTATTAGATTAATTGAAAACTGATACCATTCATGTCAAAATAAAAAAAACAAACATAAATGTGTGTTTTTCCCTTGATTACTGCCTAGGTTTAGATCGGATAGAACTTAAAGTGAATGTTCAGACTTACCATAGCCCAGGGTCCATTGGCTAACTTGGCATTCTCAGTGAAACAGCGAACGATCTCCTTCATACTCCAGTCATTGTAGTCAAAGCGCATCCCAAACAGGACCTGACAGATGATGTTGGATGAAGCATTGTGGAACATCACCTGAGGACTCAGAGTTGAACCTGTAGAAGTCACAGCAAAAACATGACCAGAGAGTCGAGATAGAGAGTAAGGCTGTGCAAAATACTACACTAAATTTGGTGATGCTGTCCTGTTATTGTGGGCTGTTGTATTGATATATCTGTAAGATTATTTTTTGGTATCTTTTAGAAATTTTTTGTGACTGCACTACAATTCTGTTGCTTATTTAGTGGAAGGAGACTTGTTTATGCAATACACTCGACATATTCACTGTTTTGATGACGTATAAGAGGTGGTGGTTTAACAAAGTGGTATTGTTGCCAAAATGTATTTGGTTCTTAAAAAAGCAGTAATATATCATATGTAATATATAGATTATCACATGTATCATCATTTTGTGATAATATTGTATAGTGAGCCATGTATTCTGTATCATATCGAATCATGAGCGGCCTTGTAATTCACACGCCCAACAGAAAGATAGAAAATAGAAAGACGAGTATATTACATCAGATACACACTAGACCTGCTTGAGGCGACCTTGACGCAGCAGTATTGATAAGCATAAATAGTCCTTGACCTTAATGGGAGCTTATCACACTTACCAATACTTCTTTCTAAGTCTGCAGATGTGTGCTGTAATTCTCCCAGAATTCTCTCCTCCATTGACTGCTTTCCAAGACCAAAGTTCCTTAGTGTCATAAGTGCAAAACGTCGATGCTCCTTCCATCTTGGGCCATAATCAGCCAGAATAACTCCTAAGAAAATTAAAACAGAATGTAATCTCCAGTTTGCACAATCCATATTTTCAGTTTATCTTTCTGTGTACCTTTGTTCTCAGTTGTAATATTGACATACATGTCCTGCGGTCTTCCGGCAAATTCTACAGCTTTATTTACCAGAGCCTCCTTTATGGCTTGCACCCCACAAAGCATCACCATTGGTTTAGATCCGAGGTACAGACTGTAGACATTTCCATATTTCCTACGCAGCTGAGGGTTACAAAACAGATTTTTTGTGGTTCAACATTTCCTAATAAATTATACATCAACAAACAATCATACGTAACATGAAGAAATAAGTGTGACCCTTTCCCAGTATTTGCTAGATATCACAGGTCCACCACCACAAATAATTATTAATTTAAATATCATAGTTTTGAGCAAAATGCACTAGACCTATATACATAATATACAGACAAATCATTTGAAACCAACAACATTGTACTACTTCTTTGTGCTTCCTTACCCTCTCAAAATCTTGCAGGGGATTGTCCAAACTCAAATTGTGCAGGTTTCCTAATACCGGCAATGTAGTGGGTCCAGGAGGAAAGTTTTTTGGCCTCCGAGTTTTGAATTGAATGATAAAAAAGCAAATGAGAAGCCACAGAAGAAAGAAGGAGACAAACATGGTGAACACGTGTATGAATTGCCTCTATGCAAGCTGACTGAATAGTGATAATGACACTTAAGTGAGTGTCAGGTTTTATTGACGCAAGCCCTGCCTCCTGTTTGTGTAGGACTTTACCTCTAGTGGTACAAAGGTGAACATGTATAATAAACAGGATACTACTGGTTGGGGAGGGATTTCCTTTTCGGAATTCTAGTGGTACAATAATCCACATTCTCAAGTCTATAATTATTTTAAATTTAGAATAAATATATGTTTATTTGTGTGAAACAATTACACAACAAAACAAGAAAGTGTGTAAAATGCACAAAAGTCAAACAAAATCAAAGCCTTTTCTTATACAGAGTCACTAGTACCTGAGAGCATTTCACCATTTTGTTCTAATATTAATACAGTAATGCTAAATGATACAAACCACAGTTTACAATTACTAATTTAAATTGCAACTGTAAAATAAACTGGTAATGAAGTAATAATGTTAGTAATACATATACAATCAGAACGTGTCGGGGTTTAGGATAGGAGGTTTTGGTATCTCCAAACCAGTTAAATAAGTAAACTTACTAAGAGTCAGTATATTAGACTTACTAGTACTAATAATATGCATTTTATGTTGCAACAAGGGTGCAACATTTTTGATATTTCATACAAGCACGCATCTATTGCATAAAGCCATTTTGAAACAATGACCTAAACAAACTCTGCTGAACCTACTCATGAGTCACAGCTGCTCCACTACTTTCCCATGTCTGCTGAATGATGCACTCTTTTGACCTCTGCCATTGAAGTTACACAACCATATTGTTTTATTACATTAGCCTATAATCTCACCTGGTACCACTGAGCACAAAGAACCTGACTCCTGCACATTCTGAGATTTGCCACGCTATCAGACCCACATGACTGCTAAACTCATAGACATACCCATAATACAAACAATGAGTTTAAGAGAAGTGGTTTCTTGAGGTTACAACATGCTTACTGACATGTCGAAAGAGCATCCTGAATAAATTTTGAAAACATCACAAACAAAATTAGTCAACAGCTTCTCACCAACTATATATATCCTGTATTACTATAATTCTATTACATTTACTTTATGCATTTATATAATTATGCCTTCTTTGACACCAGTCCCTTGCTATTATTGCTACTTATTTAGAGTGTATTATTAGCATTTATATTTTTTTGCTCTTTGTTGTTATAATACATTGTGATGTGTGAGCTACTGTGTCCAAATAATTTCCCTTGTCGCTCAATAGTTCAAAGGTTTGTCTAAGCTAAGTCTGTCAGTCATACACCACATATATACCATTACGCGTCTAGACACATACACACAAGCAACCTGCATGGTATCCACGTGTCTTGCCCAAGGACACAACAACAGAGAAGAGGCTAGAGTTATTGACAACTGATTCTATTGTAAGATTTATATTTTGCCTTCATAGTATTCCAATAGGTTACTGCTGAATGGAACTAGAATGGAACTATTTTGGGGAATATTGATACCATTGTGTTGTTGGATGGGCTCTTCGAAAGATCTTTGGAAGTTATATTTGTGAAGAAATACATTTAAATATCCTGAATGAGATATATCCATCTGGTTAGTTAGTTATTTCCAACCTGCGCATCCAATTCACATGACAATACCGATGCAGATAGAAACATGTATGGTTTAAAAAGGGGATGGATGGACTGCACCAGGCTAATACTCACTTTTAGTTCTTCTGATAATCCGTTCCACATTAACTCCATATACTGAGATGCACATTGACTTTAAAGTAGTTCTAAATTTCGGCTCATAAAAGATTTTATTACTTCTAATTTTGTTATGATGAGCATTTCAATCTTGAAATAAATCGTTTAAATTAGCTGGAAGAGAGTTGATAGATGCCCTGAGCTGCTTTAAAGTTTATCAGCTCATGAAGTTTTATGTTTGATGATTTTAAAAACAGTGGGTTTGTTGGACCTTGAGAGCAATCCTATTGGCTCTTTTATTGCTGTGAAAATAAGGACAGTAAATGAGTCTTATAGCAGTTTCCCCACTTCAATACAATCATTTAAATAAGACATAACAAATGACTTGATCTTCCCATCATTCCCACACATTTAGCAACTTTTGTCCACAACTAATGTATATGAGGTTTCCACGACATTTTCTCATCTATTATACCTCCCCAAAATACAATTTGTTCAACTCCAGCAATACATGTGTTAGCAATGGTTACTTGGACTGGTATGGGACTACGATTTCCACATAACATGAGTTTTTTTTTTTTTTTATTCAATGATAATTACTATTATTATTATTATTATTATTTTATTTTTTCATTTTTTTTTTTATCAAACTATTAAGCTTATTTGTTTCCACAGTTACTTGGGCCAAAAGCTGCTTCAAATTATCACCTTGTGGGGAAGCTGGCCAAAATGGTTAAAAGAAGGAGGCACACAAAAAAATGAAAAATTTAATATTTAATGTAGACCAAAGGGCATCATCTGAAACCTGAAGAGTCCACTGGGCACTTGAAAGGTTGTCAGATCTCTCAAGGCTTCGTCAAGGGGCACTTGACTTGCAGAGGTCTAGGGTTGTTAGGCAGCTTGCATGACCCAGCTGCTCGATCAGTTCATCTACCCTTGGCATTGGGTAGGGGTCAAAGGCAGACACAACATTTAACTTTGAAAAGTTCACACAGAATCTGAGCCTTGGATCTTTTTTGGGAACTAAGACTACAGGGATGCACCACTCACTGCACGATGATTCAGTTTCCAACATCTCCTCCACTTCTCTATTTAACTCTGTGACAAATTTAGCTGGACTGTGGCAAGTGGTTATCTCTGCTGTTCTGGTAAGTGTAGGCGGATCTGGTGCTGGATGAGGTGAGTATATCCAGGTCTTGCACTAAAAAGTTCATCAGTCATGAAGATTTGAAGGTCCTGTTGTTACTCTGTAGTGAGATGACTTAGATCAGGGAACACTAGTGTCTCTGCTGGTGAGGGGAAGTACTGCTCCAAATGCTCCTCCTCGTCGATGACTGCACGGGCCAGAAGGCATACCTGGTCTGGCATGTCAACCCACTCCTTAAGCAGATTGATGTGGAATATCTGATAATTTTCCGGCGTTCTGGCATAAAAATTTCATAGGTGACTGGTCCTGTTTTTTGATGGATCTCGTATGGGCCTTGCCATTTGGCTAAAAGTCCACTTTCTGATGCTGGCAATAACAGCAGGCCTTTTTGGCCCACCTGGAACACTCTTCTTCTGGATGCTTTGTCATAACTGTGTTTTTGTCTCTGTTGTACTTGTGCCAGATCGTCACAGGCAAGCTCTTTGAACTGTTCCAGTTTCTCTAATTTTCAGTACAAAAGAGAGTTAATTACACCCTTGCTCCGGAGTTGGCCCCTCCCATGCCTCCTTCGGGACATCCAGAGGCCCTCAAACAGAATGCCCATAAAGAAACTGGAATGGTGAATATCCGGTAGAGGTTTGCGGCACTTCCTGGTAAGCAAACAGTAGGAATGGAAGCCACTGATTCCAATCTGCCCCCGAATCAGCAACAAACTTCCTCAGCATAGATTTGAGTGTCTTATTGAAGCGCTCGACAAGCCCATCAGTCTGTGGATGATATGGACTTGTCTTGATTTCTTGTATTCCCAGGAGATTGTAGACTTGTTTCAGCAGTGTTGAGGTGAATTTGGTGCCCTGGTCTGTGATGATCTCTCTTGGGATGCCCACTCTGAAGAAAAGCTGGATGAGGCAGGTGACGATCTGGCGTGCTTTGATCTTTTTCAGTGGAAACGCCTCTGGGTACCTAGTGGCATAGTCTGACACCATTAGGATATACCGATGTCCAGCACTGCTCTGCTCCAGTGGTCCAAAGATGTCCATGGCAATGCGAGAGAAAGGGGCTCAATAATGGGCATGGTAATGAGGAGTGCCCTATCTCTGTTTTTGCTTGGGGCTGTTACCTGACACTCAGGGCATGACTGACAGTACTTTACAATGTCCGAATATTGCTGGGGCCAGTAAAACCTGGGAACCATTCTAGAAAATGTTTTAGCTTGGCCTAAGTGTCCTGCACATGGAATTGAATGACTAATGTTTGTGGAACTACTAACTGGTCACCAATTTCACTTCGTCTGTATAATATATCACCCTTTATAACAAAAACCTCTTTCCCTCTTGTTCCTTTTGTTGTTTCTGGTACCATTTACTGTACAGATTAGCTAGAGTTGGGTCTTGTTTTTGTAACTTTGCAACATCACTACAAATGGGAAACAAATCTGGCTCAATGGTGTTAATATTTTTTCCTCCAATCTGGTTCCTTTGACTTTATCGTGTCTCTTTTGTCTTTTACTTTTCCTGACTTCACCATTGTTAGCATTTAGCATCTCTGTATTAGCAAATGGTAACTCCTCCCATCCTATTCTCTGCCTGCTTACTTTGTGGTGGGTTTGAGATCTAGTAAAAGCCATTAGCATTTGCTTTAGCTTCAGTAGCTGTTTAGCAATTAGCTCAGGAAGGACTGGGACGTCTAAGCCTAATACTATAGTCCCCTCCAAAATTATTGGAACAGCAAGGCAGATTCCCTTATTTTTATTGTTCACTGAAGACATTTGTATTAGACCACAGTATTTTTAGGTGAGCAAAAGTAATGGAACAAAAAATCTTAAATTAAATAAAATGTAATATTTGGTGACAAAACCCTACCTTGCAATAACTGCCTTAAGCCTGAGACCCATCGACATCACCAAACTGTTGCATTCTTCATTTGCGGTGCTGTTCCAAGCTTTTACCGCAGCTTCCTTCAGGGCTTGTTTGTTTCGGGGGGTTTCTCCCTTCAGTCTCCTCTTCAGGAGGTGAAATGCATGTTCTATCGGGTTAAGGTCAGGTGACTGACTTGGCCCGTCTAAAACCTTCCAGTTTTTTCCCCTGATGAAGTCCTTTGTTTTGTTGGCAGTGCGCTTAGGGTAAATGTCCCGCTGCATGGTCAAATTCCTCCCATTTAGTTTGGATGCATTTCTCCGTATGTTAGCAGATAAAATATTTCTATACACTTCTAAATTCATTCTGCTGCTACCATCATCAGTTACATCATCAATAAAAATGAATGAGCCTGTTCTAGAAGCAGGTATGCACACTCAAGCCATGACATTACCTCCACCAGGCTTCACAGATGAACTTGTGCTTTAGATTATGAGCAGTTCCTCCTCCACACTTTGGCCTTTCAATCACTTTAGTAGAGATCAGTCTTGGTCTCATCAGCCCATAGGATTGTGTTCCAGAACTTTGATGCTCATCTCTGTACTTCTTTGAAAATTCTAATCTGGCCTTCGGATTCTTACTGCTGATGAGTGGTCTGTGTGATAGAAATTTAGACTGTGGAAAGATTTCTCTCAATCTGTCTTGTGTAAATTAATGTGATTTCTACCTGAAACCCAGACCAGTCATTAACATGTGTAAAGGTTCATCAGGCACAACTGTCTCCGCCTTCAGGAAGCCTTTTGTTATCATCAACTGTATGTTCATTTAGCACCAGCCTCTGAAACTAAAGTCACTCTGCATTGATATGTATGTAACTTGTATTTCTGTATAAATACTGAGAGCCCAAATGCCCTCCCAGAGAGGGGACATGGGGAGAGACATGAGAGATGGGGGCAGACATGGGAGACATGTGAGATACTGCTGGGGGTGAGAGGCTGTTGGGCTTTGGCCGGAACAGGCCTAGGTCCTATCCATATCTGCTGTAACAAAAATAAACCTTGGTCAATATTCCAAAAACTCATCGGGCTTCGCAAATGGATTCATTATTTATCTTCAAGAGATATATCATTTTTTCCACGACGATTTGGTGTCAGAAGTGGGATCCACGAGTGACCATCCAGAACACAGTGCAGATGGAATTTTGTCTGCTTTTGTTTTTTCTCGGATGCATGTGTGGCAACCGAGGGGTTAACGCTCCGGGAATTGTTTAAGTGTGATAATATGTTGCTGCAACAACGCCACCCCAAATCTAGTTTGGGGAAATTAAGTAAAGGTAAGGCACACAGGTAAGTACATCATAGAGGGAGAGGGAGCCAGGTTCCATCAATTACACAGTCTTTATTGATTTTCTGTTGTTTTAAAAGACAGATTTAAATGCTAAAAGTAGCTACATTCATAAAAATAGACAACCAGTAAAACATTACAGTGGGTGAATAGGTACACAATATTGAAAATGCAAAACAAAAACCCCAAAACCCAAAGCAAAACTGAAACAAAGCAAACAGAACACAACACACAAAACAGAGCAAAACAAAATAAAACTAAAAGCGAAACAAAATAAAACTAAAAGCAAAACAAAATAAAACTAAGAGCAAAACAAAATAAAACTAAAAGCAAAACAGCAGAGGTGGTGTCCTCACGCCGCTGCAGGCCCCCGCCGACACCTGAAAAGTTAAATTTTGGGATTAAACTCAGCGCCTGCAGCGTAAGGATCTGGGCCAAACATACCGTGGTTGAGTGTGACAGTGCGCAATCCCCAGGCTGAATCGAAGGCAACTCTACATAGAACAACTGCGTCCAGACGTGGTCCAACAATGTGGACCGGCACACGCTATAAACAGACAATTTTGAGAATTGTTTGGCACAGGTAGCACGTGGAAATACGGTTTTGGTTACCTGCCGCCGCGGTTTACGGGACACGGCGGCGCACAGCCAAGCGCAATGGGGAGGGATTCACTCGTCTTACCCGTGGAGCTACCGAGAGACACCGGTTTAAGTATGGGCACGGATGAATGAGTGGAGGAGTATCGGGCGTGCATTACCTTGGTCAGAGGAGATGAAAGCGCGCCCTAGGTGCTCCGCGACTCGGAGGAGCGAGGAACTGATGCGGTGCAGAGCACCGGCCAAGCAGCGGCACTAAAAAGAGACGTGGATGGAAATTTGGATATAACGGCCATGGAAGTTACAAAATGAAGTTACCTGAGCGGGAGGACAGAGCGGCCACAAGGAGAGGCCCGGAAGAGCGTGTGAGCCAAAAGGGGGAACGACTGAGAAGGGAGCGCTTAAATAGCCCACCAGCGCAGCGCCACGGAACGCCAGGTAAGAGCACCTGCAGCCTAGACCCTCAAAGCCGGTCATGCCACACATGGAGCAAAGAAAGACATGGATGGACATTGGCTTCTGTCCTGGATCATCACTGCTGGATTCAAACAAGATTTGCTTGGTGAGCTTTTGCAAAATAGACTTTATTTCATTTAAGATCATTTAAAGGAAACCTTCATCTACAAACACTTCAAAATGTTCAAAGGACAGTGTGCCTCCTGTTGGAGTTAAATGGACTTTTCGATACATGCCAAACTCTAGCTCTATTCCTATCCTATTTTTTAAATTATCTCACAAAAGCTAAAATTCCCATATTTCAGTTACTTGAGTGACCTTTTTCAATATTTTTTCCTCAAAAATCTCATGCTGCAACTACAGTGTCAACAACGAAGACCATCCCCCGCATTTCCTCACCCTTTGGGATATTCTAGACCGTTCATTTTTTAAGCCACTGAAACTAAGCTGTTGGAAGTTACGAGTGCAAAAACAAAATGGGGAGCAAAACTTCAAGGGAGTATGCACCACCAGAAGGTTCCATTGTTGATTTTTTGAGAAGAAAACATGAAGATAAGAAGTCTTCAGAATTTGGTGCGTTCACTTTAAAGAATGTTCTGGCATTGGAAAACAAGTTATGTGAGATTGAAGTCGAAATGAGAGAAAAAATAAAATTTCTAATAAAAAAATTAGACAACATTGAAAATGACAAGGACTGTGTCAAAATGTGGAAAGATGAGGCTGAGAGCAAAATAAGAAAATCTATGTACAAACAACCTCTTCTCTTTAAAGATGCAACTGAAATGTGTGAATTGAAACAGCCCTACTCACAGAACTCTTTGTCTCAACTGTTGCTGTCTGATCCTTCACCGAACAACTTATCACAACTCAAAGCTCCACCACTCCCATCACAACAGGACTCTTCATCCACTGCTCAGAGACTACACCACCATGTTGAACAAGCAACGCTCACTATGCCAAAGGTTGAAGTCTCTGGTCAACAAAATCCAACATTAGTTTTCCGTCCATGGACTTCTTCTGAAATAACTGCAGCATCTCAACATCTGCCTTTTGTGTTTAGTTCTTTTGCTAAAGAACTAAACACATTTTGTCAAGACTTCAAGCCCAGTATGAGTGAACTGAGGAGAGTGTTGATCATGAAAATGAAACCTACAGAATGGCATAAAATAGCTGATCAACTGCAGAACATTGAACTGCGATGCAATCGTGTGGATTGGAAACATGACTCTAATGCTTTGTATAGAGAAGCTGTGAACAACATCTGCATAGCTATCACCAAAGCCTTTCCTGCCTCCATCGATACTGACAAAATCCAATCCTGCAAACAAAGAGAGGCTGAGGACCCTGAAGCATTTCTCACACGTTTAACAGAAGTGTATAACACCCACAGTGGATTTACAACACCTGATCACTTAGGTGTGACTCGTGATATTTGGGTAACATACCTGTGTAACTACTTCATCAGTGGACTAAAAACAGACATTTCTTGAGCTGTGAAGAAAACTTGCATTGGCTGGAATGCTGCTCGCCTAACTGAATTGAAAAGACACGCCACACATGCATATGAACAGCTACTGAGAAAGAAAGTAATGAAGCAAGAGAGAATGCAAAAAGAACTGCATATTGCAGCTGTGACTTTGTACAATGAGATCCAAAGACATGAAAGTGAAAATCACCAACTGGATTCAAGATTTCAGAAACAACTAAAGACTCGTCAGCCAACATGTAAGCAGAACAAAGAGAGGAGAAGAGCCAATCGAAAGAACAAGAGAAGATTTTCCAAAGAACCATGCTTTATCTGTTGTCAACTTGGACATTGGAGACAAGAGTGCTCTTTACGCCATGAGCCCTCTGCATTTACACCATCTTCTCCAAGTCAACTTGTGACCTGAAAGCCACTATGGAACTACAAAACACCAACACCCTTTTCCCCAAACTGTGATGCCTCCACCCCCTGCTGTGCTGATTGTGATCCAGTCACAGCCCCCACACATGATCTATCTCCAACTTCCTGGGACATTAATGACTTTCAGTTGGAAGTAACCTAAAGGCTACTGATGTTGTTTTTTTTTGTTTTTTTTTTTGTTTTGTTTTATTCCTTTCTGATTTACTTGTCCTTGTATTTTAATGAACATGGGTTTAGTTTTGTTACATTTTGCTTTACATAGTATCTAGAATTTGGACTACTTGAATGTATTCTCCAGAGCAGAAGTAAGCACAGTCACTACAGCGAACTACCAAACAGTCACTGGGTGAAATTCCCCTCTAGTAGTAACTAGCTAGTGAACAGTCAAATGGGTGAAAGTCCCTGCTCTTTAGCGAACAGTTACTAGGTGAAACTCCTATCTAGGGTTACTGACTAGAAAAAGGCAAAAGGGTGCAATTCCCTGTGTAGTTGAGTGTAAAGACGAGCTGAGACTTTCTCATGAGGGAGAGTAGATTCAAGGGAGCAGTTAAGAATGGAGATACTATGTATTGTATTAGAAAATGTTTGAAGACAAAAAAAAAAATAATAATAAATGAAAAAAATTGAAAAAAAAAGAAAAGAAAAAAAAAGAATTGAAAAGAAAAAACTGGGGGGAAAAAATAAAATAAATTAAATTACATGCTTAAATACAGAGTGTGACACCAGAAGTCACTTTATGTTTCTGTGTCCTTGGGACCTGATCAGTCAAAATGTATGTTGTAAACTGTGCATTGTCAGAAAATCTGTGTTTAACATTTGAGCCTGTTGTCAACAGTGTCAGCAAGAAAAATTATAGGATGAAGTTAACTGGGTTGCTCTGTTTTAGAGTTACTTTATATATATATATATATATATATATATATATTTTTTTTTTTTAATGATATTTGTTTTGTTTTGCTTATTGATTTTTAATGATGTCCAAAAGAAGTCCAGCTGGTACCAGAAAACTCCTTAGTTGTAATTAGCTCTTCCAGAAATTCAGTATATTTTGGTGAGCTCTCTTAAAAACAAAATTAAGGCCTTATCAAAGCCACTTGTGATCACAACAAAGTTGACTTGACTGACTTGCGAATTTCTTTAATAATTATTTATTTATTTATTGTTACAGGAGATATGGATGCTGCATAATTTTCTCTTCTTTTCGTCTTCTTTTCTTCAAACATCCTATGACTAACAAAACTAGCAAATAACAGTTTTAACAAAATGTTTCTTTCAGAAGTACAATTTAATCAACATAATTTCTTACAGTAGAAGACAACTAAGTCAACTAAGCCTGCTTAGAACAAAATTGACACATAAATGTGTCAAAGGGGAGAATATAAGAAAATTTGTTTTAGATCACTTAGAGACTGTTTTCCATTTTTCATCTACAAGACCTGTAACCTGACAACGCCCTCCAAGACAAAGACAACCACAGTGAATGGTCTGAAGCCAGGAAATAACGTTCCACCTGGTCCAACCAAAAGCATCTTGTCCTGCGCAGAATCAGACCTGCATCATTTAACCATCCTTCTGCTTTACAACTGTCACTGGAGAAAAACAAAAGTTCAGCCATCCACAACTTTTCAAAACTCGACTTGTTCCTCTCGTGCTCAACCACAGCCCTGAAGATGGACACATGGGCCAAAGGATGACTCAAGAGACGAGCTGTGGCTCAGAGAGAGGCCAAGCTGCGTGGGGAGACTAAAGCCATGTGTGGTCAAAGAGAGGACAAAGGGACAGAGGACAGGCAATATTCAACTTGTGACTACAAATCATATTGGAAATGGATAAACTGAACAAAACAATCCTCCTTAAAAGTGAACTGTTGAATTTGCCTCCAACTAATGGAACTCACTTTAACTCCATGGACTGTTTTAAATCCACAATATCTTTCCACATATTATGTGTGTGACAATGACTGTTTATGAAGTATGATTAATAAATAATCAAAAGGGAGAATGTGTGATAGAAAGTCTGCATCTTGTGGTATGGCCTCTATACTTCTGCTTTCGGAGTCTTCTTCGAACAGTGGATTGTGAAACCTCCACACCTGCACTGTGGAGATTGTTGGTGATTTGACTTACTATTGTTTTGGGGGTTTTCTTAAAAGCTTGCACAATATTTTTGTCATCAACTACTATTGTTTTCCTTGGCCGACCTGTTCAACTTCTGTTACTCAGAACACCAGTAGTTTCTTTCTGTTGCAGGACTTTCCAAATTGTTGTGTTTGCTATGTCCAATGTTTGTCCAATGGCTCTGACTGATTTTCCTTCTTTTCTCAGTTTCAAAATGGCTTGCTTTTCTCCCATAGACAGCTCTCTGGTCTTCATTTTGGTTTAAGCTCTTTAACAAGAAATACATTGTTGCAGCCAAGACGTAGGCTAGTCATGCAGAGCTATTTAATGTTTGAATGGTCAATCTTAAAGGCAACACCTGGCAGCACCTGGTAGCCCCTCTCAGTCACATGTTCCGATAGTTTTGCTCACTTGAAAAATGGGTGGGTTTAAATAAAGGTTGGTATGTCCTGAGTTATTTAACACATCTAGATGTAAATACTTGGAATTAAAGCTGACATTCTGATCTCTTGTCTCATACTCTTCTTTTGATCTTAAACCCAAATTTCTTCAGTGAACAACAAAAATAGGAGAATTTGCCTTGCTGTTCCAATACTTTTGGAGAGGACTGTATTTGGTAAGGCAGCTGTTCTAATACAGAAAGTGCAAAGGGCTGATCTTCAACCTGAACAGTAACTTCTGCAATAGGGTAACTTACCCTGTCACCATGGATACATACAATATCGACAGTCTCTCCACAAAAAA